GCTGCTGTTTCCAAATGGAAATGACAACGTTTCAGGTTGCGAAGGCTTTGGAATATCTCCACGCTGCCCATATAATATACCGTGATCTGAAAAGCGAAAACGTTTTGGCCTGGAGATTTCCTTCACCGTTCGGCGCCCTGACAGATGTCCTTGTTAAAACTTGGCGATTATGGTTCGTACACTTTGTGTTTTGGTTATTGCTAGAGATATCACACTTCTAATTTAGGCATCTCTCGAACAGTGATGCCATCTGGTGGAGCAAAAGGATTCGGGGGCACCGAAGGCTTCATGGCACCAGAAATTGTTGTTCAATGAGAGGAGGAGTACACACAAAAGGTAAGCGGTAGCATGCCTGGCAGTGCTTGCAGTGTTGAGACTCACTGATTACATTTTGGCTTCTCATAAGGCATAACATTTTAGGTTGACTGTTTTTCGTTTGGAATGTTTTTGTACGAGCTGATCACTCTCAAGCATCCATTCGAAGGACAAGAGCACGTGAAAGAACGTTTATTGGAGGGCGCTCGGCCCGTGTTTTTGCCACATGTTAGTTTCTGCCCCGTTTTTCTTCTCTTTTAATTATTGAGACTTCAGTAGTACACAAATGTTCAGGAGTTGTTAGTTCCATCACCAATGTTGGACTTGGTAATCCACTGTTGGGCAACGTTGCCAGACGATCGACCGTCATCATCTCAGCTTGTGGGATATTGTTCTGCTCCTGAATTTACTCACATACTTGATGTTTGTGAGCTTGATGGTGAGATCTGTTTCATTGTTTAGATCCTGGGGTACCTGACAGCGCGGCAAGAAGGCAGAGTCAGCGGACGAGTCGCAGCGCGTGATGTGCGATGTAGGACGTGGTACATTCTATTTAACTTGACGCGAAATCACTACAGTACGCGCTGCGACTCGTCCGCTGACTCTGCCTTCTTGTCGCGCGACGGGCCTCCTGTCGGGTACCTTAGATTTTGGAGTCACTGTGTAGCACTAATGGGTTTTATTTCGACAAATTTTTAGAGGCTTTACCACCCTCCTCTGTTCTACCTTACTATATTGGTGATGATATGGATGATCCAGACGATTTTGAAGCTCAACTTTGGTTAGGTGGTAAAAATATAACGGTGATGAGTTGCACGCAGTATGGATGGCTGGATCAGAAGGTAGTAATTCCAAATTACTGTTTGGTAGCGTAAAGCAGTTTGTTTTCCAGGTCGTTGAAACATCTCTTCGTCCGCGATTCACCAATAGAGTTCGTGATACAGTTTGGTCCTGCGACGAGAGTGGTGAAGTCACGGTTTTCGCCTCGTCCCTGCACGAGTTGACGCGATTGCAGTTGCCTTCACTCACTGCACCAATTGTTAGTCCAGAGTGATCCGTAGATATCGAATCAGATCTATTAGCAAAGTTCTTTTGACAGATT